GGAGGGTAGGTGCCCCGGGGGCCTCGGCGCCGTCCTGGGCCTCCCCGGCTCCCGGCTCGTCGCCGTCTGGGTACTTGACAGGGTTGTTCTCGGCGTGCAGGTGCTGGTGGGCCAGCAGCAGCGAGAGCTGGGTGAAGCCTCGGCCGCACACCGAGCACCGGAAAGGCCGCTCGCCGGTGTGGCTGTGCTGGTGGGTGAGGAGGTGCGACGACTGGGTGAAGCGGCGGCCGCACACCGAGCAGGAGAAGGGCCGCTCGCCGGTGTGCACCCGCTGGTGGGTCAGCAGGTGGGGCGAGCGGGTGAAGCCCTTGCCGCACACCGAGCAGGTGAACGGCCTCTCCTCGGTGTGCAGCCGCTGGTGCCGCAGCAGGGTGGAAGAGTCGGTGAAGCCCTTGCGGCACACCGGGCAGGTGAAGGGCCGCTCGCCCGTGTGCAGCCGCTGGTGCCGCAACCGATTCGACAGCTGGGTGAAGCCCTTGCCGCACACCGAGCAGCTGTACGGCCGCTCACCGGTGTGCACCCTCTGGTGGGTCAGCAAGTGCGACGAGCGGGTGAAGCTCTTCTCGCAGACCGGGCAGGAGAACGGCCTCTCGCCCGTGTGCACCCGCTGGTGCACCCTCAGGTCCGACGAGCGGGTGAAACCTTTCTCACAGACCGGGCAGGAGAACGGCCTCTCGCCCGTGTGACCGCGCCGGTGTGTCTCCAGCTCTGACTGGGTGTGGTAACTCTTGCCGCAGTCTCCGCACTTGTGGGTCTTCTCCCGTGGCCGCTCGCTCCCCGTCCGACCGGACCGGGGCCCCGGGGCCTTCTCCCCGCTCTCCGGCTTGCCGTTTTCCGCCTCCATGGTGGGGAAGGGGTGGGGGATGAAGGGCTGCTGGGGGGGATTCAACACCCAGGCGTCTCTGTTGCTCCCCGCGAACCCTCTTCTTCTAAATCCTCTGCAGGGGGGGGGGGGGGGGGGGGAAAGAGAGAAAAAAAATAGAAGGATACCATCAGTCCAGGAGAGGAACCCCATGGAGTGGGGGTGAGGGACATTTCTTCAAACAAACACACTTGGAGGGGCTGGACTCAATGCTAGATATCTGAAAACAAAATCATCACTGGTGAAACAGCAGGTTCATAGATGTTCACAGAATCCCTACAATGTGGAAGCATGCCCTTCGGCCCAACAAGTCCACACTGACCCTCAGAGCATCCCCCCCCCCCCACCAAAGACCCATCCCCCTCTCACCCACCTAATCTACACATCCCTGAACGCAATGGAGCAATTTAGCATGGCCAATCCAGCCTAACCTGCACATCTTTGTGACTGTGGGAGGCAACTGGAGGGAACCCACCCAGACACTGAGGGGAAGAATATGCAAACCCCTCACAGACAGTTGCCCGGGGGTGGAAGCGAACCCGGGTTCCTGGCGCTTTGAGGCAACAGTGCTAACCACTGAGTCACCATGCCGCCCAATCCGGCAGCGTCTGCGGAGAGAGAAAGTAGAGTCAAGGTTGGAGTCCAGTGATCCCCTTTTTTTCCAGCTCTAACTCAACAATGCTCTCTCTCTCTACCCACCCCCCACAGATGCTGCCAGATCTGGCTAGGTGTCTCCAGTGATTTCTATTTTCATTTGAAGCGAACATTCAGGATCACCGACGGTGTGCAGTCAGGCCATTCGGCCCATCAGGTGGCCACCCGACCCTCTGAAAAGCGTCCCACCCCCAGACCCATCCCGTCTTAGCCGTGCAACACAGCATTGTCCCCCACTACGGCTAACCCAGCTAGCCCGCACATTCCTGGACACTATGGGCGATTTGCCATGGCCAATCCACCAGAGCTGGATACTTTGGGATAACTTTGCATGTCCAATCCACCTAGCCTGCACAACTTCGGCCTGTGGGAGGAGAAGGTGCAAACTCCACACAGTCGCCCGGGGATGGAATTGAACATGGGTTCCTCGGGCAGCACTGCTAACCAGTGTGCCACTCTTGTGGTCTGGTGCAAATCTTCCCCTTCTCACCACCTCCCCCCACCCCCTCCAGGCCAAAGGAGTTTCCAAAACCTGTCAGCGTCATCTCAGGAGGGAAATTGGGAACAGACAGTTCTACTTCCTCTGTAATGCTGTGTGCTGTCAAGTTTACTCCAAAGCTATCAATTCCCCACCAATCTCTCCCTCCTCACTGACCCTGGCACTTTGCAAGCCTGTGTACGTACTTCTTGCAAGCAGGTCCTGTCGAGGAAATCAGCCTGCAACTGCACAGGCCCAGTGTCAGTCTGAAGTTTCTGGGGAGCACCACCGCTCTCGCACGCAAGTAACTCAGAATTACGCAGCCCAGACAGGAGACTGCAGAAATGATTCACTCGAGCCAGTTTCCAAAGTGTGGCGGGATTGGATCAACCGAACCTTCGTCCGACTGAGGCCATCTCCCTGAGAAGGTGACCGTTCGGCCCATCCAGTCTGCTCTGCCCTTCGATGAGACCTGAATGCCCCCGACTCCACTTTGCTGAAGCGCAGCAAATAAAATTACGGGAGGGTTCAACAGGGAAAGAAGTTGAGGATTTGGGGAGTGTGGAGAATTCGGAAGGATGGCGCAGTTTCAGAATTGGAGGGGTGTGGACTGGCCGTTTGGAAATTAGGAGCAACGGGTCGTGGATCTTCAGAATTCCCTAACCTTGGAGTTGCAGATGCTCAGACATCCATTATGTTGAAACATACCAACGAGAGCAGGCCATTCAGCCCATCAAACCTGCCCTGATTTTAACCTCAACTCCACACGCCCCGGTAATCTTTCATTCCCCATAGAGAGTCTAGCTCCCTTTGCCTCAGAAATATTTAAAATCCACAGCCTTTTGAGGAAAGGGAATTCCAAAGACTCGCAATGCTGTGAGAGGGAACAAAAATGTTTCCTCATCTCTGCGATGACTTATTTTAAAACTGTGACCCTTCGTTTCTATAGTGTCCCACAAGAGTAAATGCAGATCCAAGAGGTGTCTCCACACAGACAGCAGGCAGAAAGATGAAGCCGAGACAGGAGATCAGCCGTGATCTCATTAAATGGTGGCTCAGGCTTGGAAAGGGGCCAGAGGGCTACCTCTGCTCTGACTCCTCGTGCTTTATAAAGTTTGGGGGCAACTGAACCTTTTAAGGTTATGATCGCTGCTCTGCGTGCAAAAACTATTAACTGGAGCCCCATCAGTCCCCCAACGCAAAAGGGAACTCCCTTTAATAGAGTCACGGAGTCACACAGCACGAAAACAGGCCCTTCGGTCCAACCAGTCTGTGCCGAACATAATCCCAAAACAAACTCGTCCCACTTGCCTGTTTGTGGCCCATATCCCTCCAAACTTTCCCCATTCATGTACTTATCCAAATGTCTTTCCTACTATCTACCTGGCATTCCAGATCCTGCAAATAAGAGGTCGAGAAAAGAAAGACAAAAAAAAAAATCAGGCCGAGGAGATTTCTCAGCTTCAGCTCCCACGCAAGCATTCAGGAGCTGAAGTAGATCATCCAGCAGTCACTCCCTCAAGGAGCTTTCCTGTTTATGACAGACCGGTGCCTCTGATCCAATTCATAGAATCCCGACAGTGCATTCAGCCCATCAGGTCTGCACCAACTCTGCAAAGAGTAACCCACATTTACCATAGCTAACCCACATAGCCCACACATGGCTGGACACTATGGGGCAATTTACTACAGTCAATGTACCCTAACCCTCACATCTTTGGACTGCGGGAGGAAACCACAGCACGTGGCGGAAACCCAAATGGACACAGGGAGAACATGCAAACTCCAGTTCGCAGATAGACTGTCACCCAAGGCTGGAATTGAACCTGGGGTCCCTGGCGCTGTGAAGCAGCAGTGCCAACTGCCATGCCGCCCCAACTGATTAAGATTCGGTCTCTGACTAGCAAACTGCATAATCCCTCCCCACCTACCATCTACATTTGGAGGCAGGGGTCATTTGGTGTTGCGGTGTCATCCATCCAGACAAAAGGAAGCGCACGATACTTTCTGAGTGCAGTTAGGTGGAGAAGGAAAGCTCTTTGACCCTTGAATTAATGTATCAAGCAGTGGCACAATTGGTTGAGGGCCTGGTGGTGGAGGTAGGGGGTGGCTGCACTTTTAAGCAGCATCAAAGCTGGAGACCCAGAGAATGATGGGCTCTCTATAACCCGTCCACCACCACCACCCTTGTCCATAGCTACAGTCAAAGAGGCACAGAGCCTTCATCCTTTCAAAATGCCTGCCCCTTTAAGATCCGGACACCACCCCTCCCAAAAAAAAAATCAAAAACCTGCAATTTCAGGAGAGCGAAAAGGGTTGAGGGGGTGGGGGAATAAAATAAGAGAGATAGGATTAAGGCGGGGTAAGGTTGAAAATAATAATAATAATAATGCTGGCACGAACTAACCACGGGTTGCAGATTCCTTCAGGGATTGCAAACAGATCTCCCGATCCCTTCGCTGTTTGCTTTGCTTAAAACATTTTTCTTTGCAAAAAGAAACATGCATACATAATAAAAAAAACTGGGAGCAGAAAACCCGACTAGCAGGGCCGCAGGTTGCAATGACATGGAGGGAGAGCGGGTTGCACCAACCACCCCCTTCTGGTCACTCCCTCCACCTCCTCAAGGCCCAGACGCCTGTGCCTGGCCTGCACTAGCAGCAATAGCAATAGCAGCAGGAGGACCAAGGCCGGCCCTGGTACAGAGGCTGCGCTGGCAGACAAAGAGACTCCGGCCTCAGTCTCAGCAGCAGCGGCAGCAAGTCCCACCCCCTCCCCACTCCGCCATTGGCCGCCCGCCGAACAATGGACCGGCCGGGCACTCCCTCTCCTCATTGGTCGCCGCTCGCTGTCAATCAGCGGCCGTTCCGCCAGCTGTCCAGTAGGAAGTGGGGTAGAAGGGGGGGGACGAGAAGAAGGACGCGACAGCGTGCGCACGCGCGGGGCGGGGCGGAACGAAGGCAGAGGTGGGGGGCGTCCACGCGAACGCGCGCAATGGTCGGAGCGAGGCGGACGGTGACGCGATCGCGCACGCTCGGACGGAGAATGACGTGTGGGGGGGGGGCGACGGCGCACGCGGTTAGAACTACAACCTGGTGGAGGAAGACAGTGACGCTATCGCACACGCGGGAGCGGGGGGAAACGGCCAGACAGTGACGCGGCGGCAGCAAAGAAAGGGGGCGACGCCGACGGGACCGCGCACGTCACGGGTCGCGCGGTGGAGGTGGGCGGGGCTGGACGCCACGTTGCCTGGGAACCAGAGGCCACGCCCCTTCCCAGCAACAGCTTCACCCCCCCCACTCCTTGCAAAGGGGCAACAACCTTCCCCACCCCCGCCAATATTCCCGTCGTGCGCCGCGGCGTGGAAGGCATCCCCTCCCCCCTAAGAAACACACATTTCATCCCTCCACCTCCTCACCCTCAAGGTACGCGTGCGGCCGATCCTTTCTGGTGCTTTTGAGGAGGGGTCGGAGGTGCGCGCACGTGTGTGTGTGTGTGTGTGTGTGTGTGTGGCAGGGCTTGCGTTGCTTCCCGGCGGGGCTGGTTCAGGGGAGCTGGGCCTTGCCTACCCGCCTCCGTCTGGTGAGCAGCCACGGGGCGGGACGCGGCCTCGTTTTTTTTGCTGGGAAGAGGTGGAGCCACCGCGCAGGCGCCAACGGCGCATACACAGAGAAGGAGGAGCCGGGGCCGAAAATGGACGTCCGTCCTGACCAGGTAAATTATCCCAGACAGAGTTAGTTAGAGAGAGAGAAAAAAGGGTTTGGTGAAGTGGAGGGAGTGGGTCTCTACCCCGGAAGACTGCGAGTGCGGCCCCTGCTCCAAGACAGAGTTTGGGTTGGGATACTCTCTGTCTCTGGGCTGTGCTTCTGGTTTCCAGGGGCAACCGACCGCCATCTTAGCGGTTAAAGCTGGAGACCGGGATGGCGCACGCGCAGTTCCGAGGAATCCCAGTCGTGTAATGGAGGCCGCTCGGCCCATTGTCCTCGTGACGGCCTCTTTCCTTCCCTTTCCCTCACCCACCCCCTCACTCACCCCCCCCACCCTCACCCCT